CGTCTGTGTGGAATCGGGACACTGATACCATCAGAAACCCAGGTTCTCTGGCATTTCATTGGGAGCTGCTGTTGACTGTTCTCCATATACAGGTGTCTGTTGTAGTAAGAACTACCGTGAACAACATCTGCACGAGAAGAGCAATCACTGTTAGCTCAGAACCAGGGGCCCTCAGCGTTAAGGTTGTCCACAAACCCTTTGTTAATGGCTCCTGTGTCCCTCCAGTGTCCCTCCAGATATGTTTTTGCAGTTCTGCTGGTGGGGGGGGTGCTGCCCACAACGTTATTCTTGTTTTCTTGGAGGGGTGGGGAAACGGGCGTAGAAAATATCCGTGGAGTCATGTTGCAACACTTCCCTTTCCTTCTCGCTGACCAAATGGGCTCAGGGTTTTTTTTTACATTGTTCATGGCTTTTAGGTCTGACAGCAGCGGGAGGATGTTGCCTTGATCGTGGCTTTCTCTGAGGGTATGTGACTCATGGTGCAAAAACCTGAGCTCCTTCCTCAAGACAAAGTTCTGCTTTTGCCGGCGTTTCCTGCACATCGTCAGGAGGCCTCCTGGAGGGGCAGGGTGTTGGCCGTGGCTCGTGTAGGTGTATCGGTGAACCCTGGACAGGCTGGGCCGGCCAGCGGCTCAGTGCCTTTCCGATTCCGCGGAAGAGTGGCGGGCTCACTGAGGGGCAAGAGGGCAGATAGAGCGCCACCTGCTGGTGGCGGGGTTTTCTTGCCGTGCCTAGTGAGGGGTGGCAGAGTACCGCTGATCGACCATTAAATCACGAGGCTCTAAAGATGGGGAACGTTTCCATTGTTTTTGATTGTCCAGGAGATTGATTAAATCAAGCGATTAAGTGATTTAGCACAAAAATCGAAGTATTCTTCTGCCCTCAAAGACTAGATTTCTCTTAATCGAGCACACAGCTATAGCAGTTTCCTGCTGTTGCCAGTCTTTGGAAATGGATGGAGACTGTAAGACTAATTGGGTTGTGGCTCTCCAGGACCAGCGAGGGAGACCCCTGTTTTAAATCAGTTCTTGGGCAGCTGTACAAACCAGAAACTGATCGCGTTGCTGCGCCCTGGGAGTCCTGGTTTCTCTCAGGGCGCCTGCAGGTTCATGAATCATTCTGGACTTGGGCACAGGAAAGTTTTGGTCCTGAAGAGCCACAGAGTCCTGGAGCATACATTCCAGCTGGACTCGGAAGGACATCGTTGGATTAATCGCTTGCCTAATTATAGGGAGAGCTGCGATGCTATTTTATATTCTGTGGTTAGAAAGAATCGGCATTGATGAAGGTATTTCAGACAACAATAAAAGTAAAGTGTGCACAGTATCTTGTAAAACCTCCTATTTATCACAAAATAGATTCAATTTCCATGCGCAGCAATTCAGAATGAGGCCACAAAACTTCCGGTGACGTGTTGTGGCCCTATTACACTGTAAACGAGCAGGCTTGTGAATACATCTCTTAATCCAGTTACAATATTGCTCTTGACTTCGAGAGGGTAGTGCCGACACTCTGCTCACTTGTTAACTCTGCATGCAGACCACATTGACCGCTGCACAGCCTGTCCTTATTCCCTCGCACATCACAGTACACAAGTCATTACCGTGACTACTGAGCAGGAAGGGCTGCATCATGTCACAATTTGCGCAAACTCTTGCTGTCGTTACGTGACAAGACTTGCGGTACTTTCACAAAGTTCACGATTTTGTGCTTAATTCAACATTTGTTAAATAATTCTATAAAGTCAATGATTTTTTTTTTTACTGAGATTTAATAACCAGTCTCGGAAATTGGGACTGCGGTTCCCCTTTAAGAGCACCTGTGAGCCGTGTGTAGGGCTGCAGCTGTTCAAAACCAGGTGGTCGCAAAACCTGAAAATTACCGATGAATTTGAGCGAGTCTTCGGTTCTGTTATGTGAAATTCCAAACTCTGCTGCCTGAATGCTTGCAGGTACTCAGGTTTTGAGTCCCTGTTGAGCCCTAGTGATTTCATTCATCGAATGACCTGGTTAATTGATTACAGTGAAAATCGCTAGGGAGGGGTGATTTTAGCAGTGACTGGTTGGGGCTCTCCAGGACCCTGTTAACTCAAATCACAGTGCGTCTCTGCACGTGTTCGAGTGTGCAGACAGGACTGGTAGCCTAGCTATGTGGAAGTTGCGTGAAGTCTCTGTAACAGCAGGGCTCCGTGCCATCGCGTTGAGCAATCTTTTATTTCATCACATCAGTGGCTGTGGACAGGAGCGCAGCGCAGCGGAGAGGCGTGTTGACCAGTAATATGGCTTTTTGGTTTTGAATCGCTATTCCTGATTGACACAACTTAACCAAGCTGAAGGCTGACAGATCTGCATTCTGCCTTTTTTAGGACAATTCTGTAAACACCTGAGGGGTGAGCTCTGTTTTCCTTTCTGATTTCTCTCAACCGTTTTGTGTGTTGTTTTTTTTTTCTTTTCTTTCTTTCCTTCTGCGACTCTCTTCTCCCTCTCGCCCGTCGTTGCCGTGCCCAGCCGAGCTCGCTGGGGTCCCTCAATTCGGAAGCGTTTCACAACCATCTCGCCCTCCTGCTGGTTGACACCCTGGCCAGCCCCTCCGCTCCTGCCCCCGTCCCAGCCTCCCCTTCTCCCAGAGTGCCGTTCGTGGCCCCTTCTCCCCCTGCCGCCGCCCGCGACTCCCCCCGCTGCGTACGCCCAGTCCCCTGGAGCCCCTGCACATTGACGAGGAGGGGGCTGGTGGCGCCCCCCATTCTGGGGCACCCTCGCTGGCCTCCCGCGTCTCCCAGTCCGGCTCGCCCGCTGTGGCGGCGGCGGCTGCCCAGCAGTCCCCGTTCCCAGCGCCCGAAACCCGCCGTGCCAGCCAAGAGGCGATCGTCGACGTCTCGCCCTCCGTGCTCGCTTCCCAGCTGCGGTCGCTGGTGGTTCTCTCGGAAACGGAGGCGCAGCGCCTGACCTCAGTCTCGCCGGCGCCCCCTGCCGCGATCCCAGGTCCCGCGAAGAAGGAGGAGCCGCGGGTCGTGGGGGAGTATCCGGGGGGGAGGCTGGAGTCTCGCCCGTGCGGCGGCGGCGCAGATCCGGCGTCAGTGGAGCCCTCGCTGGACGAGGCCCTGGACAAGCTGTGGGACATGAGCTGCGCGCTGGGGGCGGGGGCGGGGGCGGGGGAGGACAGGGCGGAGGCGGCGCAGGAGGTGGTCGAGGAGCGCATCGTGGCTGTGGACAGGCGGGAGGTGCTCCCGGACACTTTGCACCTCCGGGAACAGGGGGGAAAAGGAGAGGAAAGAGTGGATCACACCGCACCCCACCCCGACACGCCAGCAGGAGGGAGCCCCAGGAGTGCGGAAGGGAAATGCACTACGCCGCCCCAGGGGGAGCCCGAGGCTGTGGGGACCCCCGGCAGCCCCCTAGACCTGCCGCCGCTGGAGCCGCCCGCGGTGGAACGGATCTCCGCGTCCGGCCAGGCAGGCGGCGCCCCGCATGGCTTGTGGCAGCCAGGAGCCGAGATCTTAACCCGTTTGAGCTGTTGCCTGTGCTGCTGTTGCCTGACTGTTGCATCCACTCCGAAGTATCTTAACACGTAGCCGGTTTTCGTGACCCTGACCCCGGAGAGGCGCCGCTCTCGTTACAGAGCGTGTTTGGGTGGAATCCCAGCATGCACTGCCTGTCCGGCCCTCGGACGTGACTAACAGCGCAGCGTGACCCCAGCTCTCAGGATATCCGATCCTACACAGTCGAGGGGCCGGGGCAGAACGCCGGTCATCGCTGAATGCTGCTCGTTCTCTCTGTTGCCAGCTGCTGACCAGTCAGTGGGAAAGCAGTGTGTGGTTGACTTTGCACAACAGTTTTTCCTGGGAGAGGGTAGTATATTTAACTTATTTACATGTACATGTCAGTATGTCCATATTGCACTTGTACATGGAAAAGCTTGAAGGGCGCATTCAGAAATCCTGCAGCCTGCGAATTTCTCCCACCCCCGACAGGCGACTGAAAGTTGTTTTGGGCCGAGCACTTGCTAGAGCACGTTCAGCGAGTGTTAACATTATTAAGTACAAACTTGACAGGCCGCGAGTATCAGTCTGGGATGATGCAAACGCTAGTCTGTCCAAAACACTTGCAATTGCGACAATTGTGCGCTCCAGCAGTCCGAATTCTCTCGATCCTGTTTGAGTGGAGAGGGCCTGGCTGTAGCCTGTGACCGGGCCTGGGCGCCTCTCCAGAGCTGCGGTCTTCTTGTGGGAACCAAGGAGTTCTTGGTATGAAATATTCCGATCTTCTCTGGATTCCACCTAGTCCATTGTAACTACGATACAAGAGATCCTAGTTACCTGATCACCTTCTTGACGCTGGCAAGTGTTGGAAAATCCTGACGTACAGCTGCATTTTTTTCCCAGAGATCGACTTGTAGTCTCAGCTCCTGTGGATAAATTCGGCCAGCGAGAAACACCCAGGAGCAGGAACTGTCTCGGCATTGCCCTTACAATGGCAGTTAGCGGCAGAGGCAGAGCGTGAAGCTCCAGGCGAAACGGCTTCTATACGAAGAAAATGAAATTGGCTTCTCGGTGGCTCTCGTTTTTGCTCCGTCCGAACGCGTTCCCAGAAGCCCGCTGTGCATGGCGTGGAGCCCTGGCGTGGGTTGAGCCCGAGGCATGGAGTGGCGTGTGTCCGCGTGCCCGCTGAGCTCGTGTCCTGAGTCCCGCCCTGTGGCCCGCTGTCGTCCAGATCAAGTCGGTCATCAAGCGCACGAAGGAGACCACCAACGTGCACCCCATGTATCGCGAGGGGCAGCCGCGCCGCATGCTGGGGCCGGTCATCTTCCACAAGAGCAGCTCCCAGGACCGGCTCATCGAGGAGCTGCAGGGCAAGCTGGGCATCGGGCGGCAGGAGCGCTGGCGCTCGCGCCAGGACGACTGGCTGACCGAGGGCGTGATCGTCATGTCCAAACC